CTTTCACGACACTTCGCATACTCGGCTCCTTAATGCATAATGAGAGACACCACACCTACACTGACCTTTCATATGAAACGTTGAAGAGACTTCCATAAGTTACCACCTCAAACTAACAACACATTGTGCCCCACCCAACAAGGTAATGAAAATAAGAAATCCTACACCACATGTCAGCATGGAGTTTATATTTTAAAATACTCCATAGAAAAAGGATATGCAATGAAAGCCATGGCAAGGGAAGTTAAGTAGGGAGAAACATGAACATAGAAAACACTCTCCTTGTTGAAATTCTTGCTTTCTCCGCCTGCTGCTTTGTCTGTTGTTTTCTCCTTGTAGAAAAATAATTAAGTTCTAAACGTTGGCTTTGTTGCCATCAATAGTTAATTACTTAAGGAACAGACCATGGCTGAGACTACCCTTCATGGAGGGTAACCAGCTTTGCCAAGTTCAGGATACCTAACTACAACAAGCAGAAATAAAAAATGTTCGCTGGACTACAACTTCATAATTATCAAAATCTAGGATTAACTCATTATAAAAGTGACCAGCAAAGTCCAACACTCATCAGCTGCAAGGTTATCACGACCCACGAAAACGGCGAACAAGATGTTCTGGAAGCCCGTTTGGCGCATTCAAACAAGTCTTTTGCTTCTGGATGCTGGAGTTAGAGAAGTGGAGGCATTTGGCTTTCAGCCATAATATTCAGCAAGATTATGAATCTTTGTTGTGGAATGGTGTTAACATGGATGAATTATACAGTCCTGGAATCGTCAATGAGGTACAATATTTAAACAATTCATAAACTTCATCATTATCTCAAGCAAAAGTACAAGCTGTTACAATTGAAGTATTAGCTACAAGCTTTATTTTTCTCCAGGTAATACCTGCAATGTCCAGATACAAACCTGGTTTTTTTGTGAATGCGAAGACAATACTTCCACTCGTCCAACTTGTGAACTTTCTGCACACCTATTCTGCTGGAATGTTCCATTGCATGAACATGCAGCACCTATATCTTCTAGTGGCAACGGGCAGGGATTCAGAAAACCTTCCATGAAGATGAATGTAATTTGTATATAAACTTATCCATACCTGTAAAAATGGTGTGCCTGTATATTCAGGAACAAACATTATTATTATTAATACTACTTCAAATACCCTGGGAGCCTGATGGTTCGATCTGATCGCGTTTTCTTTGGCGCCGATAGTTGCTGTAACTGTGCACTACCAGGCACATCGTCAAGAATTTCGATAATTGGGCTCTCCGTAGGTCGGCTATAGCGGGCTGAAGCGTCACTTATAATGGGGTTGCCCTCAAAATAAGCTGATTTCAAACAGCCAAAACTGACAGTATCTTCACGTCCGTTTCGCTCAGTTATATAGAATTTCTGCTGTTGCTTCATCAGTTTGAATAGCCCACCGTAGAGTGGTTCGAGCGGTAGACAAACGGCGTCATGGAGAATAAACATGTGTGGTGTCTTCTGTGAACTGGGGTGATCAAAAAATCAGTCTTTTGAGATCTAACCGGAGAAGGCCTCACTGAACGCATTGCGTTTGTAAGCCTAGTCGCGTAAGACGCCCTGTCGGAAACATGTTTGAAAATTGAAAGGGAAGCAAACTCACCTGGCAAGTGAAGATTGGTCTCGTAGACGAGTTCTGTGGGAGTACATCCAGCATCAACTTTCAACGCGTTACCAATACCTAGTAGAACTAGAGGCAGAGCCTCGGCCCACTGAGGTATGTTTGCAGCTGAGAGGGAGGCTTTCGGCTGTCGATGAAAACGCTCCACCATGCCATTTGCTTGTGGATGGTAGGCCGTAGTTCGGATCCGAGTGCAACCTAAAAGTGCAGTTACAGCGTGAAATAATCCATACTCGAATTGGCGCCCACGATCGGTTGTGACGTAAGATGGATATCCAAAGTTCGCGGCCCATACTTCCACGAAAGCACGAGATGCTGTTTCAGCAGTAATATCCTTAATGGGTACTGCTTCCGGCCATCGCGTGAGACGATCCACGCGAGTGAAAAGGTGGTATATCCATTAGATTCTGGTAGAGGCCCTACAATATCTGTATGGACGTGGTCAAAATGCATGTCTGGGGCTAGAAAAGAGCCTAAAGGGTTTTTCGTGTGTCACATGACCTTGCACTTCTGACAAGCTAAACACGACTGAGCCTTAACGTCCTTGTTCACCCCAGACCAACAGAAACGTTGTGCAACAAGCCTAATGATGGTTCGTACTTCTGGGTGGTACAGTTTGTGCAACGTATTGAAGACGTTGTGTCGATATCTCTTTGGAACTATTGGGCGTGGTTGACTAGCAGAAACATTGCACAAAATTGCATTCTTGTCCGATCCAACCGGACGAAGTAGTAGCCTGAGAGTTGTGGACGACAACTCATGATGCAGCTCGAGGTCTTCTTTTTGACACCGAGCTAGTTCAACTAGATCAACGCCGTCGATATAGTTTATCGAAGTTATTCATGCTAGTGCATCGGCTCCGGAGTTATTTGCTCCAGAAATGTGGTGGATGGCTGATATGAATTGGGAAATGTAATCAAGCTGTCGCGACTCACGCGTGGAGTATTTGTCAGGCGCCGAGCTGAGGTAAAAGGTCGGCGCCACATGCCAAGTAATTCACAATGGGAAGCTGAGTGATGACTGCGAAGCGAAGAAAGGAATGAAACAAGGCTGTTCACTATCCCCGTGATATTCTTGATTGTGGTGGACTGGATCATGCAACAAACAGTAGGCAGCGAAAAGAGGGGGATACGCTGGACTGCGGAAAAGAACCTAGAAGACTTGGATTTCACCGATGACTTGTGCCTGATGTCACACAAACTTGAAGATCTACAGGCAAAACTAACAAGTTGACAGAAGAGGTGAGGCAGTGAAGACGGGGCTTCAAGTGAATATAGAGAAGACAGAGATGATGAAGATACCCAACCAACAACAGCAAGCTCCAATCACCATCAGCGGGAGAAACTTAAAGGAAGCAACCTCTCTCACCTACACTTAACTAGGCAGCACTGTTTCAACTACAGGCGGCACAAACACAGACGCGAACGTCAAAGTCAGGATTCGAAAAGTAAGACGGGCGTTCATTAGCCTGAAACCAGGGTGGAGATCTGCACTCAGCACAAAGAGCAAGATCCAGATTTTCAACACCAACTTCAGTCAAGTCACTGCTTCTGTATGGTTGAGAGACTTGGTGCGTTACGAAAGGGATTTCCAATAAACTACAGACATTCATCAACAACTGCATACACTGGCTCGCTACTGAAGATCAGCTGACCAGAAAGGATAAGCAGCAAAGGACTCTGGCAGCGAACCGACCAAGAACCTACCACCCAACAAATATGCAGAAGAAAATGGAAGTGGAGATGGATTGGATTGGGCATACACTGAGAAAGCCAACTGGGGATATCACGCGTCAGGCCAGTTGCTCGAGTGGAATCCCCATGGGAAGCGACGAGTTGGACGTCCGAGGGTGACATGGAGGAGATCGTGTGAGGAGGAAATGAGAGGTTGTGGGCTGTCGTGGAGCCAGGTTGAAAAGATTTCAGAGAACAGAGTTCACTGGAGACGTGCTACTGAAGTCCTATGTTCCATTAGGAACCCGAGGGACTAATAATAAATAACATCATTTTCACAGATACGGCTATAACAATTAGCGAAGGAAAATCTTTGGTAGTATTTTTTGAAATATTTTTTTATCATCTCCGCTTCATCTCAGGTAGATGAAATCCCCAGCCTGAGATGAAGAAAGTCTTACATCAAATAAAAGTAGTGCGCTTGAAGTTGAACATGAGGTTTTTGTTATCCTTTTAGGTTACCTGGCGGAAATGAAAGTTATGTTTAGTGAGCATGCAAAAGCGTCATTCAAAAAGAAGAGTGATTAACTCATTAGGTTCTTTCTCAAAAAAGCTAACGCTGGCCAAATTACTCAAGTGGTCTCATTTGAAGGATCATGTATATTGAAGGAAGTGTCACGGCAGATTCAACGTATTTTTCAAAGGACACGCGCCTCCAGGTTCATTGAAGTGTCAAGATATACTACATAGACAGCAATAAATGATGCTGATGACAATATATCACGTCCCTGTTGAAACGACCTATTTTCATTTGTTCGTACTAAACTGGACACGTCCACCGTAGCTGCCATAATGCTCTGAGTCGTGCCCACTGTCTCGGCGAGCATTTGCCGAACTCCTTTGAATTTCGGGTCGAGTCAAATAATCCGCTTCTGTGGACAAAGCGGTAGGTATTTTTCTGCATTTTCGTGTACTTTTTGCAGCTTCAGTGGACTAAGTGGCGTCAGTCAGTAAAACGTTTTTGAATATCAAGTATTGAGTAATGAGGCTGTTAACTGTCACCTAATTCCATGAAGAGTGATAAACCTTATTGGTTCTGACGATTGACACCGATTTTGTTTCCGTTGTTCGACTGGAAGAGAGAATAAAACACCAGTGGTTGGACAGTCAGATGCTCGTTGCATATGCTCACAGTTGTCGAAGGCTCCAGTTCTCTATAAATTTTCAGCACGCAATGTTTTACCTTTGATTTGGGTTAAACATGCTTTGACATTATGTTCCTCCATTTTTATTTTGCTGGTCTTAGTTATAGGGGATTCGGTATGTGGGATGTTACTGCTCGTCCGCATCTTATTTTCGACAGGGGCCTACTGAATCCATAGAACGGCCGGTCAAACTTTATGTTACGCCAATATTTGCGAGCGTTTGTCCTTAAGCTGTCTTTTGGTTCAGTGACAGATATCCATGCAGTAGGCCTTCATCTGTGGGTGCGCTGCAATAAGTATTATAGTGATATCATCCAACAGGCGAAGGTCATCGAAAGATTGTTTCCTACCCATGCGGTCATTTTATTCGTGTCGAATGTGTATGCCTCTTAGAAACTTGGATAACTTCAACTAAGCAAACTGTAGGTTCAGACGAAATGACTTATTTGTTCCCCGAGGAAAAACAATTTGGAATTAGATGTTCGCACAAGAACCGGATCAGGAAGTCAAAGTAGTGTCCAACCGGGATACTATGCTTCTAGCAATCGAGGATTTCCTGCCTTTGTAAGATGTCCCTAAGCTTTTCCTGAACCATTTGATATTGTAAGAAATGTGAATGTTCATGGGAATCCCGTACTGAACATGGAAGTACCTTGCTGAAGAGGTTTTGGCAGAATGACATCTGAACTCTGAGTGTTCGATCCGTTGGAGTGTGCGTAGTGCGGACAGCAATGTTGGTGAGTTTCTCCATGTTGTAAGGTATGAGTGTGTAGGTGTGCATAATTAGAATGCCGGGCTTAAAAGTAGTCCTCGTTTCGCGGCTTTACATGCTTCAGTACTTCCCATCTTTGCTCAATAGACGACGTAACTTTCCAGTCAGATACCATTTACAACCTTCAACTTCGATTAGATCACAAAAGTGACAGCAGCTAAGTATGAAAAATAAGTGTTCTTAATGTGAGCTCACTCATATCCTCCAAAGATGTACTCCCTTTCGGAGTGTACCCTGGTCAAGAACTTACGGAACATTTGGTGAGTCTCACTGTCAACTTCGGATTATACACTTTTGTAGAATTCCAGCAATACATTCGCTGATCATCATCACATGATCCGTTAGTAGAGGTGGCACAAAAGCCAAGGCAGTGAATCGGGTTCCGATAACGTATCAAATAGCTATTTGATACCAACGGACAAACAGAAATTATGCGTTCCACCATATACTTGTTGTGAGGTCCTTGTGTTGGGAAAGAGTACTTCATCATACCGGCATTGTTTATCCTAGTAAATGTAGAAAGCAAAAGGTTTTTAGGTGACGTTTCGCCAAATATTGCTGATAGCTACGTCAAAGTCATGGTAAACCAGGATTCGCAGCATCCAAATTTCCATACGTTTAATTTGAATTTTTCCTTGTAGACGATAGTGAAATGGAAAATATACGTCATGCAACTCCAACAAGGTTGAGGGTGCCCACTAAATACAGCATTAGAATTCCGATACAAGTTGAGTGGCTGTGATATTACCAAAGTGTCCACTGAAAAGGATTTGAGGCCCAACATCTTGGAAACTATGAGCAACAGCGCTAACCACAAAGAAACGGGGGGCACAGCAAACGTGACTTCACAACTTCCGTTTGCATGGCTTGCTGCCTCACTCCTGAACTGCTTCCCACAGTTTTCAAATCCCTTGTATCATCTAACCTGGAAGTCTTCTGCATGGCAACGCCGCGAACGCCCGAGGGAGACTCCAATCTCCTTGAGGGAGAGATCACACTCTGAAAGACTGAAACGCCTAAATTTTTGAGCTTTAGACTACCTCAGAAGGAGGAGTAATCTCATTGTAGCCTACAGTGTCGTGCATCTGAGGGGTCGCACAGACAACCTAACCCTATCTGCGATACTGTGATCGTCATGAGGGAATCCCATCAGGATAGCATATCAGAGAGCTAACATCAGGCCAAGGTCTAACTTTTTTCTGGGGAGCGTGTGGCTCATAGAATTTCCCACAGCAGGTTGTAAGCATAGTCTCCTCAGCAAGCTCATTCAGAGGACAGTCAAACAGCCGCACTTCGTCGGCTTACCACAGACGTACTCAGGACATTACTAACCTTAATAGCCCAACACTACTTCCTTTCTTATAACCACTCATGATTCCTCCTTCTGATACATCTGCATTTGCTGCTAACTCTCCTCAAGTAAATGAATCCACGCCATCTACCTCAACCTTTTGGGTAGTTTCGACATAATTTTTCTCTCCAGCTTGCTATCCCTATTTAGGCACCTACACAAATAGAATTCACTACAGATCTCGAGTTTCTCAGCAACCCATGGACCCTAACTTTCCAAATCAACAAATTACAATTAGCAACACATGACTAGAGAGAAAGAAAATAGGGGAGATCTCCTTGCACACCATAGGAGCGAACCAAACAACACGAGCCGAGCCCCAAGAACTTGACGTGAGAGATCGAAGACCATCAGTTTTCTACGCTTGCACTCTTAATATTAGAAGTTTGGCGCGACATAAAACCCAATGCAAAAGCTTTGGGCTATATGGATCAAAACATTACTCAAGATTTTTGACTTAGTTGCGTTCGTTTAAGAGTGCTCAGATTGCGAGACATGAAGGATAAGACAAACGATGTTAAATCAAAGTAAAAACACTTGAATAGTGAGGGGCTTCAACCAAACTACCTAGATGTCCTTTCATGCCCAAAAGCCTGATTAGAATTAATGTAGTCTGGAAGAAAGCATTCGTCCATTGTTTACTGACTCCTGTTCAATATTGTTTTAACCTTTCACTTCTCAAATTCACAGACGCCGGAACATTTTGATTAAGCGTTAATACTATTAGGAATGAACTTGGTCTACTGGTCACTCATTGTCCTTATTATGGCTACAGCGTACTGTCAGATGAAGTGAAAAACAACTTAATCGATATAAAGGCACGTCGTCATCAAATTCTAACAAAGATACACGCAGTGAGGGAACTAAGTAACGTATTTGATAATGACAGAAATACTCATGGGTTATTTCACGCTGGTGTCGATAAAAAAGTTGATGTCTTGGTTGACCTCGGCGGATTATACCAGGTGCAATCTGTTGAAGTTGTTTGTAAGTTTCTGGAATTCTGACCAGTTTCTAGGATGTCAAGACTACAATGTTTTGTATCAAGGTTTTATATTCATTCCTAAGCAGTCTATTTACCGAGAGGCGATCTAAGCATTTTCTTCATAATGAATAGTGCAGGTTTTCATTTCGGTGGTCTTTCGGTTCGACCGAACACCATAACTATCTTTTATTGTCTCTGTGTGTTGAATTTTCGGGAAGTAAATTGGCTTAGTTTATGAGAGTTCATCTAAAGTTTCTTTATGTAATCAAAAGGGTCACTACATAAGCCTATTTGCTTCAAAGTACCCAATGGTATCTTAAAAACCCAAGTAAATGATTATTTATAACAATATTTAGTGACAGGTATTTTCGTATTCACTTCTATGTTACTCCTATACGAATAGTTTCCCTCATTCTTTGTGAATTCCCTTCATAGTCAAATCGTGGAAGTGTGTGGATGGAATCATTCTGTTTGCTTCGGTTAGGCATGAAACTTCGTCTTCATCATGCATGACAGTGAAGACGCGAATGTATTGTTGCAGGTCTAAAATGAGTTTGAAATCATCGGGACCGTCATGACATCAAATCCTGTTTCATTCCTTCCAGTTGGTGTAAATGAGCAGCACACTGATGCTCCGTGCTATTTTGGGAACTATGCTGCTTAGTTAGAAAAAGACCATGTGAAAAAATAGCTTTTTTAAAATGCATGTTACCAGTCACTGACTCTATAGCTTAGAATAACTGTTATCTTCCTTTTCAAAAATATTCTGTTCTCGACTTAAAGAGGTGAAATGCCTGAAAATTACCCCTTTAAATCTAAAGTCGACTTAATCTTGCTGATAACCTTGTACACTTTTTGTTTCTTAACTTTATTCAAGTTCTGGCAGTTTAACTAGTTAAGAGTGTTTATTAGTACCCTGTTCAGCTGGAAGCAGACAGAGGTACTAAAATTGCATTTTCATCAAATTGATCTTAAGGGTGTATCTATTTAAAATCTTATGGGGAAGTATTTTTTTACATAAAACAACTTCACGTATGACTGAACACCAAATAGTCGTTAACGCCTTATATTTCAAATGATCGTCTTGACAAGGATTTCAAATCCAATTGACATTCTTCTCACATTCTGTGATTACCCGTTGAGGCTTTCTGCTAGGATGTGTGCCAGCTCCATCTGTGAACATGTTTAGGAGTGCAACGAACCTTCACCGAAATACTGCAGGGTGTGACAAATTCATCTCAGTTACCACTGTCGTCATTGGAGACCGGCTGCTTATTTTCCTTCTGCTAGTCACGAAAGCCACCCTTTTCACCAAAATCTGTCGATAGATAAAGCTTCTATTGTGGTCCCTATTCACATGTGGTAACTTCGTGGCACAACCATTCCGAATAATTTTTCAGCTTTCGTTGATGCTGTTTTATTGGTAGTGGTGTGAAAAGTGGTTTTGCCCAAACTTATAAGTATCTGGTGAGATGATCCGTATCACTTTCACCGGCTACTGGCGTCTAAGCAAAAAGATAACAGTTCCTTTCCATGACCATTTCTCTATATTCACACGTGAGTGATATTTTTTATGACACCGGAAAAAGATGCCATTAAATCTCCGGAGGTATAGATGGCTGAATGAAAATGCGTCTAAACCAGAGGGTTTTGATTGCTTGGTCATAAAGTCTGGGAGATACAGAACGATTGCAAAACTTGATAGACAACAGACAACACTTTTAAATTTTTAGTATTCCTCCGCAGGTCACAGAATATTTTATGCCATTTGATTTTCCAAGGACTTCTTGAGGTTATGAATGAACTCCTTGTTTATTTCTGCGTGCTTTATGACCATCTTTTAAGAAAAAAGTACCAAAAAGATTTACAATGTTACTGATGTCATTGGTAGGATTAATAATTCACTGTTACTCGTGGTGTATTACGTGCTCTGCGTGAAAATGCATGTTTATGAACTGTGTTTTTAAACATAAATATATAAACCTGCTAGGACCTATCTCCACTGGAGAAAAGAACCGTTGTAATATTGGGCGTTAAAAGTATTTGAATATCTAACGTGCAATTATGTCTCGCAAAATTTATAATGATATAGGTACATAATTCATTATATCAGTTACAGTCACCTTCTTCTTCGTCAGTAAGCATAACAAATTTAGCTAAATCGTTTCTGGTGAACCAGCAAAAGCTTAAATATTTATAATGTTAATATGATTGAAATCGTATGCGGTTGAACCGTGCTCTCAAGTCAGTTGTTAGTTATGGTGTTTTTTTCATCAAAAAATAAATACTTATGTTCATGTCTTATAGACTGTCAATAACTTTTTTCCGTTAGCGGATCAACCTGAGAAGCTGAATCAAGCAGTTAGCATTGGTTACGGATTGGATAAAAACACGACAGATTTATTTGGATCTTCGTACAAGTGCTCAGTTCAGAAAACAACAACACTTTGTGTGCCTGCTTGCAATGAATATGATAGTTCACGTCCTGGCTTTGTTGGCAATAGTCTGTTATGGACATTTCAGTCCGAATCAGAAGGATGGACTCGCATTTATGACTTACTGATAAGTGGGATTCCGTTCGATCAAAGTCGCAGCATGAAGAATAATGTTGGTAGGTTAATTATATTACCGAATATCTTTACGACCAGTTATCTCCTTGGCTTTTAACCCCTCTTATTACTACTAGGTTTTAACGCCTGTATTCTGGTTTGAAATCCTGTCTAGCTTTGGGATTGCGATTTACCTTCGAATTTTAACTTTTAAGCTTTTTGTGTCGATAATATATGATCACTGTGCTTGTATGAGGTATTTTAATGCCACCTAGTTGGACGATGGTTAAGCTTTGTCACTGTGGACTCGACGGATACTCTGAAATTCAAATGCATTAAAGAAGGGACTTGGAATGTATTACTTAGTTGGAACTGTTTCTCCTGTCAGTCGGTGTAGATATGGTTAAGGCGGTAAAAGGATGCTATGTTACGGATTTGTGGGAAACACTGATTTTTCTTTCTCTTAATGGCTATGACATACACTCCATTTAAGATCCTCCACAAAACAAATGATAAAAACTCAAAGCAATTATGTTGTTGGTATTCACACCTAGTGCTTTGGCCCTCAAGTAAAGCAACTGTGAATTCGCGGTTTATATTGTTTGCCATTATAGAGAATAAGAGCCTGTCTTTATCTCTGCATCAGATAGTAAAACAAAAGATGAAGTAAACAAAAGAGACGGAAATACAAAATGCTTATGGCTGTCTAATGTGAGTTTGGAAAAACTTTGCTATTTTAACAAGACCGAAATTCTTCAAATGAGCTCTCTACATACGTATATTCATCCTTTTTAATTGTCAACAATGAGTTCGATGTTTTGCAGCTATCCTGGAGATGGGAGTAGCGCTGATGGTGCTACTGTAGTGTGACTGTGTTTCTAGATCAGAAGAAGCAGGTATAATCTCAAAGTGTACGTTTCGGCAATCCAGTTAAAATATACTCGACAGATTTTACACTATCCTATATAATTAGAAAGTTTTTAAATTACCTCACGAAAACTAAATGTTTCTATACTCGTCAATAAAATCTAGATAAATAACTTTGCGTCAACTAGTAGAACGGAGGCAAACATTGCAGCCTCTTGTTTTTTCCATCGAGGTGTTTTCTTGAAAATAAATACAGTCACTTAAAAGTTGGTATCTCTTTCCAATATTTAATGGGAGTGGATAGCCAGTAACTAGAATTTGTTCATCGAACAGGAGTTTTATTTGTTTTAGACAGCTCTTCACATGATAACGATTCAGTTATGAACATATCAAGGCATTAGTGTGGTTCTGTTCAGGTTGAGTTTCACACATCGACTAGCATTACTGTAATTGTGTATTGCTGTTTGTTCGAATCACATGCACTCCCACCTATTCAACTTGAACTTGACCCACCAAAGAGATTTCTCAAGCATGATTTTGCACAACTCCCATTTTTCTACTCACTAAGTATGGGGGTAAGCCATAAAAGATAGTGAGTTGTTAAGTACAAACTGATATGAATAAGAATGGTTGACCATTTACTACAAACACGTGAAAATCACGAAAGATATTGTTACTGTAACTTTATAATGCAATGTTGAAACTGAGAACATGATTAAAAAACCTCTGGTTGCCAAAGATAAGTATGCAGTAGCGTTCTTACCTCAAGCTGACATCTGCTAAAAAGAATTGGCTGTTTGCTGATCCTTAGTTTAATGCACTAACTGAAGGTTTCATCAATAGTTTAACTCCTTGCTGGATATTTTTTAAAGTCGTTCGCAACAGCATACATGCACTCGCTGCTTTGTTGATCCTTCGTTTAGCTTCCTCTCCCAAAGTCCTAATAGTCTCCAGTTATCTTTCGTTTTTCCTATTATCCTTTTAAAGTGATGAACTTTTATGTGATTCTCTATAGTTCTATGATTACCTATCAATGCAGCCATGTTATTTAGATGGGATTGAAACTTCATTGTCAGTGTCACAGTAAAAGTAAACAAGATTTCTAAATGTCTGCGATCCAATTTTTCAAAAGTCAAACAAGAGAGATAAAGCTAACTCGACTTAAGTAAAATGTGTGCACGAATCGATTACATATTTAAAGGTGGTTTGTTATCTGGCATCGTAAAGTTGGCGATAACTTAGTTTGTTTATTGTCCTGCCCATTGATTTCTCAGAAAAGAAAACTTTTAAAACACTCTTGAAACACTCTTAAGATATCCTTTATTTCTTAGTGTGTTTATGTATTTTTTAAGTTGCGTTTAGTTAACGTTTACCAAACAATTGCTCCATGGTAATAATTGATGTAATTTCGTGCATAAACCAATATCCTTAAGGAGCGGGGGCAGAATTTGAATACTGGAATGTAACTTTCATTTTTAAAAAAATTCAAGAAAGAACAAGTTCAAACTTTTTAAAAACCAGAAATAACAACATATTTATTGGTTTATCTTACATCTAATAAATGCTTTTCTTGTTTTTCAAGTATTCATAGGCACTAGAGTTTGAATGAAAGGTGAACTTCATAAGCAGATCAACAAATTTGTGGCAAACTTTTAAAGTTTTAGCTATTACAGTAAGATTCCTATCTACATGGTTGGTACAGAATATGCATGTGTCAACTAAGCACATTGCTATATGCGTACAGAATTTTCCTAAAATTCCTTTACTACTGGATTTGTTTCTTTTAGACAGTTAACGTGAGAAGTATTTTCTGCTTATAAGCCTGTATAGTTTTAAAACCAGGTGGTGCCGGGGGAAGGAGGAAGTTGTTATACCAATTTTATAGGTATTGTCGCATCGTTGACTTGTTGTCTCTGCGCAGTGCTGATGAGCCCCAGACTGGGACGAAACATGTCCTGTTACTGGACATCACATTTTGGCTGGAAACAACTTTTCAACTTTCAGGCGCCTCAAAATACACATTATTTTAGCTTATTTGTTGATAAGTGATATTATTTTATCCGAAAAAAATTATTTAGAGAATATTGTTAACCACTGAGTTTCTAAGCCAGTGGTTGTACATTAACTTCCTCATCCTATGGGCTTTTGATACCTAAAACGTCTACCACTTCCGGTGTCTTACTAGACTGAAAGTGTCTTGCATTTCTATGAAATTCGGACTTCCTCAGTATTGCACAAGCTTTGCCGCAATATGGGATATTTAACCTAGGATATGCAACTCTTGCGGTGAACATGCAACCTTTGAGTTGATTCCATTGAAATCTAACGACTAATATTTTCCAATCATCATCGAAATTATTCATCACTCCAGTGTCTAGAGGCCATCAGTCTCGTCTTATTGCGCTAATTACACTCGTATGCAAACCCAGCCTTAAACATATTTCACTACTGCCTTGTAAACTGGTTTCAGGACAAAATAACTTTAGATTTCCTAGTGAACAGCTGAAACAATAAAGTAAATGGGGAATATATATCTCTGTATTTATATCTTAGTAAAGTTATAAAAACGTACTACTGAGGGAAAATGTATTGACCAAGAGTTACCGTATCGATTACTTTCTGAGTCAAAAGTCTGGCAGAGTCGCCAGTGGTTGTTTTTTGTGTTTCTAGTCCCGTGGAGTAAATAAACAGCCCACGCAGTAACTTTTAGTATTTGGATAAGCATATTTAAAGCTTGTGCCATTGATTTCATAAGACAGCATAGATATTTTCTTCTGACTTTCTCAGTTGATTTCATTCCATTCTGTAAACCCGTTAGTAGAGTCATCTCAAATTGTGTAAGGAACTAAGAAGAAAAACAGTTGTAATAAGAACAGTAGCGAGAACGACTTGCTTAAAGTTAAACCAGTTATTGAATAAAATCAATTGGAAACCTTGCCTACTCTATCGTTCTCTTTATTCACTCCCTATTCACGGTAGACACATATGAGCACGTGCCTGTACAAGTAAACAAATCGCGTAAAGCAAAATGGCAGTATTACTAGACATACTTATGTAGGTGTAGAATATAAGATTGATTTTGTCGTTTTTACGAAGCATATTTATAATCCCAAGGTTCAGTTGTTTTCCTTTTCAGAAACCCACTCCATTGCAGAAATCTGAGTGTAAGATGGTAAAGTTGATTGGGTATTGAGAGAAGGAGAGGAATAGGATATCAACAATTTTGCCAGAAAAAAGTCTTAGTCCCACCTTCTTCTAACTCGTCACAGGAGATAGTAATCATGACACCACTGAAAACGATAACAGCAGTAGTGGCAGATGCCTATCTTTCATGTTGATCAAAGGAATTTTCCCAACAAAATTCAAGCTGTGTCTTGACGGAGTTATTTTTCGTCTTATCTGTTAAAGATTTCTTGTTTCTGTGAACTTTTATCTTTCATAATCCAGAAGGGATGTGAACCTTTTAATCATGTGGAACAAAACACAAACACACTTATTTTTATTTACCTTCTAACAATATATCTAGAAGAATGTTGTTTACCCAAAATTGTTTTTTATCCTTCCTTGTTTACTGAGTAATATTATGATTATTGTTGGAATTGTTTCTGATGATATATATTCCTTTAAATCTACCAAAAGTTTATGAATATAGCATTGATTATTTGAAAATGCCGGTCTCATCTGATAGGGGCAGTTTTTAAGGCATAGATTCAATGACTGAAGCTCAACCCACTTTAACAACCATTTGTACTATTCCCATATCTACATTTAGTCCACAAGGCTTAATAATAGTAGTTAACTGATCAAACGTCGACCAGTGTAGTAGGATTCGATTCTGTTAGCCGTTGGTTGAAATTCAGTTGTTTACACCATTGAATCACAGCAGCTGTGTAGTATTAACTAGAAATACCATAGATTCATTGAAATAAGTTTAATAAGTACTGAAGTATTGTATTTTTAAACAGTTTTTCTTGCTTCTCAGTCATCCGCTACCTTCATAGCTCAAAAAGAGACTTTAAAGGCCTAGTTACTGGGATGAGTATGTTATTACTGCAAAACTGGGTGTCTACGGGTTGATAACAGTAAATTTCATTTTATTATTTATAAAATATGATTATCGTTTCATGTAATGAACAGTTTCCTGTCATTATCTAAAAGGTGATTGTTGCCGAAGGCTATTGTAACTCTGAAGGAT